TGTTCTTTCACCCTCAGGAGTTGTTTCAAGTCATTGCTTCTTTCTGACAGGAATATGCTGATCTTACATTTTTAATATATCTTCTACCGGTTTTCACTCCACCTTTCCATATAATATACTCTGCATACAGATTGAACAGCAAAGGAAGTTTGCTTTGCTTAATGGGACATTAATGCAGTGGTCCTATAGTTAATGAACTCTTTTGGTGTTTTCTGTCTTCGACATAGGAATGTATATTGAACATTTCCAGTCTGTGAGCTATTGTTTTGTCTCTCATATATGTCTGCTCCAAGTTATGCTGTCCAGTGTTACATAATGACATAGCTTTAATGGCATGCCCATTATTATTTTTTTTTGTTGCCTGGTGTTTCTCTCAAATCCATGTTTCCTCTTGGCAGTGGCAGAAATCATCATTGGATCTTCTTTTACTTATACTCCTACTGCCTTGGTACAGTATTTTTAAGCTAAATAGAATTTTAAGAATGCATTGTTTTTTGTTACAGCTTATACAGGGTGAATGTTAAATTGAACATAGGACTGGATTTATCTAGTTCCTCCTGCTCTCTTTCCCTTTTTGTTGGCTTTGTGTTATATATTTCCAGATACTTCATACCAGTGGGATACTTATTTAATAAGTGTCCCAAACAGTGAGGTGACTGTGATATTTTTCCAGATGCATTACTGTTTAATTTTCTTCAGCCTTGGTTGGGTAGGTCCTTTCCAGAAGTCAGCACCTTTTTGTCTGGCCTTGTGGAAGTTTTTGTGCATGACCATATTTTCAGACTTTGTGAAAATTTCTATACAGATCGCCCTTCTATTTCTGCTAAAACAGAAGTAGAAAATACTTTGGTGAAGTATTGTTAGTTAATGTATGATAAGGGCAATGTTAATCATTCCAAAAGTTAAAAAAAAGTTTCCAGCTTACATGAAAAAAAGCCTTCAGGGGCCCATCCTACAAATCAAACATTACACTTCTTAATCTTACTCCAAAAGGCAAACAGAATGTGGTGCATAATTCAAGCCGGGCTGAAAGCAAATAGGAATGTATCAGACAACCTGGCATTTCCTGCACTAATATAACTTTGCTCAGAGATGTTCGCCCTGACTGGTAGGTGAGCAAAATATGTGGAGTTCCCCTCCCCCCAAAAAATGGGTGTCTGAAATCCTCCTTCAAATCAGTTGTCAACAGTGGATTTACAGTGCATTTCCTCCACTATCTCTCAAAGGCCCTGAGTTTTCTGTTTTCAGCTGGTATCAAGAAACATTATTTATTTGGTCAAGTCTTATGGTGACCCCATAAATGAGAGATCTCCAAAATGATTGTCCTTAACAGCCCTGCTCAGATCTTTGAAACCAATCCTGTGACTTCCTTTAGGAAGTCAATCCACCTTGTATTTGGTCTTCTTCTTTTATTACTGCCTTCAACCTTTGATTTTATTGTCTTTTCCATATTTTTGTTTTGAATATATAAATATTTGAATAATCTCTGAAAGTGATTATCATTTGTATGGTTACCATGAACAGCTCATATGTACTTGAGTGTTGTTGTTCTCATAACTCATTTTATTACCCCAAGTGGTTAATGTTGTAGAGAATTCAAAATTCTGTAGAGAATTAAAATTTCCAAATCAAGCTTTGTAGCTGTGAAGATAGAGGACACCTTACTTATAGTAAGGTTCCCCTTGACAATTTTTGTCCAGTTGTGTTCGACTCTAGGGAGCGGTGCTCACCCCCATTTCCAAGCCATAGAGCCAGCGTTTTGTCTGAAGACAATCTTCCGTGGTCACATGGCCAGTGCGACTTAGATTTGGAATGCTGTTACCTTCCCACCGAAGTGGTTCCTATTGATCTACTCGCATTTACATGCTTTTGAACCACTAGGTTGGCGGGAGCTGGGACGAGCGACGGGAGCTCACTCCGTCACGTGTATTCGATCTTACGACTGCTTGGTCTTTTGACCCTGCAGCACACAAAGGCTTCTGCAGTTTAGCCTGCAGCACCACCACGTCCCCTTACTTATAGACTAGTGAATATATCATAAAACCAAGAAGTCTTATATTTTTGTTCAGTAGGAAATAAAACAGCTCAGAAATTTGTCCTTTAGTAATGTTAATAAAAGAAATATAGACATTTGGTGGGTTCTCAGGGTGACTTTATCTCATAGCATGTGAGCCAGTGAAGGAATCAATAAATCAATTTTTTTTTCCAATGATGAAATCAATCTTTCTGTCTTCCCTTTCTTTATTGGTACCAAAGCATGGCACACGTTTATAGTGCAATGTTTCTGGGAAGTGAAGGATGGACTGACTTCATGCCTTTGCCCAGGGAACTTGCAATGCTTTCCCACTCTTTGCGGAGGTTCCTTGTGTGTCCCCCAATAAAGTCTTTCATTAGCAACAAAGTGCCACTGACATGATCCCTGCTGCACAGCTCAACCTGTTCAACAGGATTATGGTCACAGTACACTTTGAATTTTGCACGGCCTCTTATGAAACCACTATTGCACAAAAGCATGTTTGCAGAAACCATGATTTCTCTTAACTGGAAAAAGAACACCTGCCATTTGTTTCTTAGAGCCTTGTTCTTATCTGTTCTTCTAACAATGGCAGTCCCTGACATAAAACCTCTTCTGTGCTATCTCTGTCCTTGGCCTGCCAGCTTTTGTGCTGCTTTCATTTGTCTACTGGGTGGATGGTACAGTAACAGAATCCTGGCACTGCCCTGACTAGCCAGTAGCAGTATGCATTCAAAAATGGCGGAATGCTGGACGAAGCTTCTGACTGGCAAGATTGAGTGTTTGTACACTGACGCCACTCTACCTATATATGAAGTGATTTGGAAATATTTGCTGTGACTTGTACAGGTGCTAAGTACAATTACATGAGAAGGTCTTGAAGTACGGATTCCCAAGTTGCTTTCAGACAGTGTCAACCTACACTGTAAAAAATGTGGTTTTGGAATATATAGTAGACAGTGATGAGACTGCATTAAATAAATGGAAACCCATAATGTTTTTCTGGGTTACTAAGCTAAACAATGGATGTAGGTTTTGACAGAATTCCAGAGGGATTTGACAGTAACCACTGCCTCTCATTTCCCATACTGCCGCTTCTAGTGACTGGTCTTTTAAAAGCAATCAGTTGGTTCTAGGTTGAGAGATTTTCTCAGTGCCTTCTACTATCCTGATTCAGAACTTCTTCTTTAATGCATTCCAGCCACCATCAGAAAGGCCCTGGTGGGGGGGAAATGGGTGCTCCACCACCATGCCCCATCCTTAGAGCAAAGCTGACCCACTCTCCTGTCTATGGGTTTTGGAGGAGCAGTGGACAGTACTTTCCCAATGCACAGAAAACTGGGCGATGCTCTCCTCATGCCTATGACCACGCTTCTGACTCAGATGCACTTGGGCCCAAAAAGGTTCGCCTCCACTGCCCTAAAGGAACCTCTCCTGGTGAAACCAACACTGACCCAGAAGAGATGCTGGAGATGCCCCTGGCAACACCAGCATCTAGTCCAGCTGGTACAGGAGCACTACATCAACTAGACACTACTGACCATTGTTGAGGGGTGCTGGGGCTAATGCAGAGAATGCAGCCCCAGCTATAGACATTGGGAAATGGGAGCTTGTGCATTGATCTGAGCCCCACAAGGGCAGGTGGGCAGGGAACATGTACAGGCTTGGGACACAACAGCCCTCAGGTTAACTCTGGACGTGTGTAGGACCAGGACCACTGCTGTACTCAGTTCCCCTTCGCCACTCTGGGTGGATTCTCTCTGAGCCTGTGATGAGTTTGTATTAAATAAATGGGACCTATGATGGAGGAGTCACTTCCTGCCACCCCTCCTCCTTGGCAGAGGTGGACATGGCAGGGTGCATAGGGAGAAAGTAGCCTTGGATAAATATCTGGTGGTTCTAGTCTTGAAAGATATGATAAATATCTCAGGGACAGAGCGTGTGAGGCAACTGACTGCGGCCTTAAGAAATACAAATAAAAAAGTAAACTTTCTCCTAATTATGCAGCAGATAAAATGGTTCAATCAGAAATCGACACAGCAGATTGGCTTCAAGTTTCCCTTAGTAGACCAACCCTTGTTTGTTAGTTTATCTCAATTGACATTATCTCATTCACTCAGAGACTCTTGTAATGAAGAAGTAGAAGTTCTGTTTATGTACAATTCTGCATAGATAAAAACAAACACATTGTATAATAATGTTAACTTGCTACATCACTGAGCTTAACTGGTTAATTAGCTTCATTAGTGACTAACTGACTAGTTATAGAGAGGAGCATTTACTGTGGTTCAGAGATTTAGTGCGGTTCGCTGGATTGGGCCCACAGGTGTTTCACAGGTGCTCTGGACTCCGCGCTGCGCCTCCTCTCGCGGGCGCCCATCAGAAGCAGTACTGTGAGCTTCCCTCCCCCTCTTCCTCCTTTTTGTGGGCACTTGTGAGAGGAGGCAGGGTGCAGAATCTGGCGTGCCCGTGCAATACTTGTGGGTCTGACCCAGCGAACCACACCAAACTGCCTTTCTCTAATCCATAACAATAAAAGGGAGGGGCAGGATTTGTGGTTGGTTGGTTGGTTTTGCTTTTGTTTGTTTTTTATTTATTTATTTGTTTGTTTGTTTGGCTAAAACCAATTGCTCTTAACTGCCCTTTCCAGACCAACCAACCTCACTATGCTCAATATGTTTGCAGTACAACAGGGACGGCTTTCAGCAATGCATATTTTCCTTGGAAAATCTGTTGTTTGCCAGCTACTGAGAATATTCCGGCTGAACTCAGAAGGAACAGGGAAGCCTGGTAGGGGCTGGGAGATTATGTTGTAGGCCCTGCTACTCAGAATCAGAGGGCATCAATTATGTGAGCCCTGACTCCACTATAACACTTTTTCTGACAAAGCTCACTTAATATAAAGTATGTGTGTCTTAAGCACTCCTAATATGCAAGGTTTATTTGTTTGTTTGTTTCTTTGTTTGTTTCTCCATCCCCCCCAAAGGGAACTGAAAGGCAAGATTGAAAAAGAAGGTGCAAAGCGAGAACTGTTATCCAGTCAATCCCACCTCAATGAAACTCACTGCATCCACTGCCTGCAACCATTCAAGTTCCTTGTGAACAGTAAACGTCAGTGCTTAGACTGTCATCTCTATACCTGTAAAAATTGTAGCCGCTACAATAAAAAGGAGCACGGTTGGGTGTGTGATTCATGCCGCTTATCCCGGTAAGTTGTTCAGCCAGTGGACTGCAAGGGTATGTTTGTGTCTTTTAAAAATACTGTCCAGAGCAGACACTTAAATGGGAACTATCTTAAAATTTTAACACAGCAGGCAAGAATTCCTTGTGAAGTATGGGAGGTTTTCAAGCCTTATTCTCCTAATTCTGCCAAGAACATCACTGTTGATTGATTGATTGACTGATTGACTGACTGACTGACTGATTCATTCATTCATTCATTCATTCATTCATTCATTCATTCATTCATTCCCATCAGTCTCCTACTAATTCCTAGCTGTAGTTCATTCTTAACAGAATAGAAATTGGAAGGTAGGTATGTAGGAAGGGAGAAGCTGTGTTGCAGAATCTTTTAAGGTTCACTTTTCCATTGTCAAAAGAAGGGTGTGTGGAATTGTCGCTATTGCACTTTAATCCCACCTTCTCTGTTGTTCTCTAAGGATGCATCTTACAAGGTATTCTCTGTCTTGCTCTAATAAGGTACCATGTGCCTCAGTAACATATAGGTTGAATTAGTGATCCATACTTCTTATCAGGCTACCTTTGAAGAGTCTTTTGAATCTTCATTTAATCTGCTAAGTAGGACTGCTATTATCTTGCCTCCCATAGCTCAAAGCCCATGAGTTTGTTTAAGAACAGTGGCTTGCAGATGCTTGTTTTGATCATCTCATTAATCTTAACACTTCTAAGAATTGGGTTTTCATCTTTGCAAATGGATAAATATTTAACATTAGGCAAGTTGCAATCAAAAAAGATCCCTGGAATACGAAAGAGTAATTTAGTGGTTGTGGTCATATGGTAATAAAAATGGTGCAGAGTATAAAATAGTATAGTGCTATGGAAGAATCTGTATCAGTGCTAAGGCAAACATTCCATAACATAAAACCAGTGATGTGAGAGACCCTTAAAAGGTCCTAAATCCCATTTCTTCTTGTTCACATACAGTAATTTCCGCTTTTCTCACTCTGTTGGCTGTTTCGGTAGCATTGTCCCAATTCCTCCTTAAGTGACACTTGGATACTCAGAAATCAGGTACTAGGCATAGCAGTGTTATGGATCCTATTTAGCTTGTTTTCCTTCTGACAATGGAATTTCATCAGAGGTATGTCAGATATCAGATTTTCAAATGAAGCCTGCGTTTACCATCCAATTACCTATTCTAGAATGGAGCATAGCTAAATGCAAGATATGGAGATAAGGAAAATCATGTGCTATCACCAAGATCTTTATTCATTTTTCATTTTTATTATTTATGCCCTGCTTTTCTCCCTAAGAGGACCCAAGGCAGCTTACATTATTAAAACAGTATGCTATAAACACTCTAAATTATATTAACATTAAAAAGAAATCAAACCACGGTCATATTAATAACTGATTCATAAAACAATTTAAAACAGTTTTTAGAACACATTTTAAACATAAAGTTGTACAAACACATTTAAACCTCCACCCCATAGGCAGCCAGTTACTAGGGGAAAAGCCTGCTTGAAGACAGTCTTTGCCTGCTGGTGGAAGCACAGCAAAAAGGAAGCCTAAATATGTACTGACAAGGGTCAGGGACAAATTAGGCTTGCGTGCATCCTTTCTGTACTGATCATTATGTTCTGGTGCATCCTAACCTATTACGGATCATTCTAAGAACAGTTCTCTTGCAGAAGTCCATGGACCTAAAGGAGGAAATTCTTTTTACGTTCTGGTGAAGCTTTTTCCTAAAATCAGTCCCTGCATTTCGCTTAATCATCTCCAGTTCTAAGAATTTGGTCACCATAGTCTTTTTTTTTCCTAGAATACATTTTAGAGATAAGCCCACATCACATATGTGTAAGGCATTCACACTTTGCAGCTTCTGTGTACCAGGCTGTTGGTTTTTGCATGGCAGATTAGCCTTGTTGCTTGACATTTGTGTTTTCAGCACAAGACATCTGAAGAGAAAATATTGTGTGATGGTTTGTCTGTAAGACATCCAGAAGAGGGCCCGTGGTATGGTCCAGCTCCTCTACATGTACTCCTAGATCGTAGTCAATAGTAAGGTGTTTATAGAGCTGTTATCAACAAGAATGTTTAACCGATTCATGCCGGCTGATGTGTGTATGGTCCTCTTTTTCTTATCTTGGACAGGATTGCAAGGACTGGATCTCTGGAGTGGTATTATGAACATGTGAGATCTCGCTTCAGGCGTTTTGGAAGTGCTAAGGTGATGCGATCTCTCTATGGAAGGATGGCACATGGACAGAAAGGGAATCCTACCTTGCTTGGCACGGGCAGAGGTCTTGGTGAGATTCTCTCTATAACTTTCAGAGTGCTCTGAAGAATCTGCAAAATATTGGGTACTGGGATAGCTCTTACCACATGTCACTAACTGTCTCTGAGTAACTAGAGTCTGTTCTAAACATCTGGAATTAGTAGCATGACTCCCAAACCAGAGAGCAGTTTTCCAACTGGCGTGACTCCCAACACATTTGTTTTTAGAAATTAATCACCACTGGTGAGTAGTTAGGAAAAACTGCAATGAGTTGTTTGTCCTTAATTCTAAAATTAGGGATAACCTCTTGAAAAGAGCTGCAGTATTTTAAAGTGAATACAGCCACATTTTGGATGACTGGTCTGTTGGTTGCAACTGCTGATAGCAACCAATTCAGTGTTTAGAATTTTCACTGATATTTTAATGATCCAGAGAGTGAAACTACATCTTTCTCCAGCATCTGGTTCTGGTCTCTAGTCAGGAAAGGATACTGGGCTATGCAGATGATGAGTCAAAGCTGTGCAGCTGTTCTTAGATGACTCAAGATGAGGCTTTTATTGTGCAACTGCTTTTCCTCATTGTCTAAATTTCACAGGGGGTCCAGATGGTGTCATCTACTATGTGTTGTTTTCCCATGCTTTCCCACCACATCTTCTGTCTTCTTTTCTTACCACAAAAAGTAGGTTAAGATTTTCCATCTGTCCAGAAGCATCCATTATGGTCTGGTGTGACATTTTCTGAAGTATTAGTACTTAGCTGAAAATTGCACCAGAAATATACTTTGCTTCATAAGCAGGAGTTCTGGGCTGTCAAACGGATTGCATATGAAGTCAGCATGAATCTGCCATGCCTCCCTGTTCACTGTTTAAGTATATTCCTGGTATAGATAGGTCTGTGGTTATACATTAAAAGTATTTATATGATTTTAACACTGGAAATACTGGGCAGTGTTCTCCTAGCTATACAAATAATTGGCCCTTAACCTGGATTTTTGAAATATGATAGAGAACTAGTGATTTGTTTCATACCTGTTAAAGTTAAAAACTGTGGATACCTGCAGCAATTCTGGATTGCAACAATTGGGCATGTGCAACAATTTTGTAACAGGGGCATCAGGCTTGATGGCTTGGAGTTTCCTCCAGTTCATAATGCTAAGGCAAAATTAAAGAAAATGGGGATCACCATGAACAGGACCATGAAAGGTTCTATAGCAGTGGTTCCAAACATATAACATTTGGCTGCCCTGTTGAACAAAATAAATGAATATGTACCCAGGATTAGTGATCCCAGCATCAGTGCCTTTTTTTTAATGATTTTCTCTCTTTACCCCAGTGTGATAACTTGCCAATGCCTGACATTTGTGAATCTAGTATTCTTCCCCCTAAGGAAAATGGCAGAGGTTTGTGACCACAATTGATAACTTCTTTCTATATATTTTGACTCAGTCTAGCCAGCATGGTTCTGTACCAGCACTTCAAAAAAACAAAACAAAACGCCCTCATTTCATTTTCCTAACAAAAAGTGTACATTCTCAAAATTGCTATTCAGAGAAAACATAATTGACACTGTTAGTACTATGATTTTTGTTTTCCTTATGAAGATAGTAGCCATTTTGTCTGTATGATGAAGTGGATTTTTATTGGGAAATTGGACTAGGAGAAAAGATTAATGTGACTTCCCAACTTCCCCCTGGTTGGGATTCTGCCCCACATCAGCTGCTGTTTTGCAACATTTAAAGAGATGGATATCAGATTACACATTTCAGCTAGTTTGGCCCCTAATTGAAGAGCATTGCTAATAAAGATTGGAGACAAGCAAGGTATTTTGTCACACAGCCAAAATACCTGGGATTTGACCTATGTTAAGAACCATGTTGAGTTTCATGTTCACACAATGAATTCCAAAGTGCATACTTTTCCCCCGACTCATTTCCTTTCCTTGGGAAGTGAGCTAAAATAAATGGCTGCCAGAGGGCCATTAATTTTAGTTCACCGTTTTCTTAATTGACTTTAGCCCATTGTGATCTTATCAGCTGGTTTTAAAAGGAAGCTTCTCCATGTGTACCTGATTTAAGACCACCAGGTGGAGCTCTAATGAGCTTTTTTCCCCTTTATGTGGAAAAATAATTTGTACATTAACAGAAGTAGGAATGCAAGAAAGAGAAATGCAAAAACCATGTGACATGATTCAGCTTGAAATTAAAACACTACGTATTGTGTGGGGGTTTGAAATGTAGATAAGCTCTAAGTCTCCTGGGAACTCCCATTGATTAGCGTTCCTAACAAGGCAATTCATGTTAGTAAACTCCTGCCTCTGTGACATTAAGAGTATGTGAGATTATTTTGCAGGCTTTAAATTATACATTTCACACTTACATTGTGCAAAAAAAGTGAAACAGAGTCCCGATATGTTCCTTTGCTGTGGAAAAACTTGTGCATTCTCTTCTTGAAGCAGAGGCTAGATAACTGTTATAGAACCTATTTGCCTACCACTCTGCAAAGCATTTTGTGGAACTCTGCTCATGATCATTTTCCTTCCACTAGAAGTTCCTTTGATCAGGTCCCATATTTCAACTGTAGTTGGAACATCCTGACATCCTGCTGGATTTCTCGGGACACACTGACCTCCAGCATCTGTCCTGTGAGGCATTCTCTATTGTGGCCAAAGATTTCTGCTAGTTGCACCATGTGGTTCTGGTTACTCTTCTGTGCTTTGTTTTGTCTACTTCTCTCCTCGTCTTCATCTGGTCTTTGTCAAATACAGCATACTAGACTGACCATTACAGCATAGGGAAGCTACTGTGTAATGTAAACACTCTCACAACTTGCATGCACAGGTTGTGTTAACTAGATATGCCATTGGAACCTATATTTACTGCAAACTCAGGTAGATTTGTTGGAGAGCCAACATTTCTCAAAATGTACCAAATTCTACAGTTGGGCAATGCTTTTACTAGAACCAACCAGGATGGCAAGCAAGCTTTTCATTACTGTACTTACTGAACCAGAACTCTTTACCAGACCGGATAGCTATCAAAGCAGGTGGGGGAGGGGTGGAAAGAAACCAAAGTACAAAAAAAATTAGCCATAAAGTCTGCATTTAGATTGAGTCTCAAGACAGAGACTGCAGACTGACTGAATTAATCTTTGCTAGGTCCTGCAGGTTCAATAACTTTCAACTGTCAGGTTATGACTAGGATCTGGGTTGAAAGAAGCAAGGGTTGATGCTCATTTTTTAAGCATTATGAAAACCATCGAGACTTAACAATACATTGACTAAGAATACACAAGAATTCACTTTCTTGCTCTCTTGTCAGGCTTACCTTTTCTCAAAACTGTTTGAACCAAACGTCCATTTTCAAGCATTTTTAAAACCATTGAGACTTAATACATTGACTAAGAATACACGAGAATTCACTTTCTTGCTCTCTTGTCGGGCTCACCTTTTCTCAAAACTGTTTGAACCAAACGACAAAATAGTACCTGGCCGATAGATGGCAGCATTAGGTAATTTTACAGGTTTCTGATGTGAAAATAATTTGCTATTTGCAATACACATTGCTTTCTAAGTGAGAAATAACATTTGGAAATCTTTGGTTCAGTAAGTATAGCCAACAGTTGTTAAGGAAGATGCTTCCATGGTTCTTTCAAGTATACAGAGTAGTATTCTAATGATTCCTTCTGAATGTCTTCCGTGTAATGTTTCTGTAAAACAGTTTCCACATACTAACTGAATGCTTGCTTCAAGTCAGCTAATACGGTACATAAGTCCAAGAGTCCCTTTATAGAACAGTGCTACACACACAGTAGACTTAATAACTATGTTTTCAAGAAATGGAAAATACCTGCTTCTGAAGTGGAAGAAAATTGTTCAAACAACTGTTGAGAAGTCCAAAATTTCAGATTTTGTTTTTACAGATTTTTTTCCTCAACACATGCACACATGTTACCAAAAAAAAAAAAAAAAAAAAGAAAAAAAGAAAAAAAAAAGAAAAATCGCTTCATTGGCATATCACACTAAGATGCACTAACTGTAATGACCCAAGCCTAAAGACAGAGAAAGAGGGACACTAACACTAGGGAAATATGCATTTGACAAATAAAGGGTGGGAAAGATCCTGGGAAGATAGCCCAGTGGAGATTAAAAGATGGTATGTCCAAAGAAATCTCGGTGGTGACAGGGATGTAATGGTTAATGAGAGGCCAAATGAAAATTGGGGGGAAAAACAAACCACAAACTTTTGTCTTTACTTACCTTTAATAAAGTTAGATCCTTTGATCTGGAGACTATTTTTCAGACAACACTCAAGTTGCTAAATCTCATTTGCCTTGCCGAAATCTCATCCATTAACTACCTGGATGCCTCTGTGCACGCACAGAGCGCATTTATGTTTTTATTGTGATTAGGAGATAGTGGCAGCATTTGAGATAAAGCAGGTCATTCTGGAATTATTTCTGGAGCTCAGTGGGTTACATTCATAGACTAGGACACCTGTCAAGGTTTCCCCTCCTTGGTGATAAAGGGTGCTAGTTTTGAGTAGTCCCACTGGAAAAGGATCTCGGAGGAGACCATCCTGCCACAATCAGCTTCTAAAATAATCTTCCTTGTCAAGAGACAGCACGTTCTGTGATATTTATGTGCCCTCCATCGAGTTACAGAAAATTTAAAAAATCATTTGCGTTTCTGCAGACCAGGGTTAGTAGGTTAACTTCAGGGACTCAGGAGGAGGGGGGATTGGCCTTCTACTTTAAAACCATTTTATTACCCTTCACTTTTACTGGAGGGATCACATTTGCCATTGGACCAAGGCATTCAAGTCCTTAAAACATGGTGCTTTCCACTGTCCAGTGTTTAACATTGTGCTAATTTTTTGGCATTACATTTTCTTGCTATTTTTGAAACTGGTGCTATATAGCTATAACAAGAATACAGAATCTTGTGACTCTTTGAAGATTAACTATTATAATTGTCATGTGCCTTTTTTAACCTCAGGCCATTTTATTCAGATGTATCTGATGATAGTTCTGTACCTCATTGTGAATGCTGCTTTCCCCACCCAAGATGGGGGTAGTGGGGGAGCCATGGCCTCCATAAAGTGGAGACTCTCTGAGCTTGCTGGAAATAGATCTTTTAACATAGAAGAAAGGGGTACAAAAAAAGGATTGGGTGCTGGCTGCACCCTGTGCCATCAGTTTTCAGAGGGACAAAGTTGACCTCACCAAGTCCAGTATTTGCCTGAATCTGAGTTCCAGTCACTGGGTTCAGGCTGCCCAGAGTCCATAGTTTGTGCTGAGTATTCCAAATAGACTTGAACCAAGTAAGTCTCTTCAGGGACGGCTTGTGTTGCCAACTGCTCACCAGCATCCAGGCCCCTCAACTCCATCCTGCTGATGCCTCAGATGCTCCTTCTGGTGCTTCCTCTTCCCGTGTCCACATTAGAGTGGGGTCTGGGTGCTCTGCCAGCTAATCTGCTCTCCACAGGTGAGGAGGCCAGAGTTGATGGTGGACTGAAGATTGGTGTGTCACCACTGCACCCTTATCCCTTGAACACCTCCACTTGAACCCAGCCTGCTATCCAGAGACGATGGATAGTTAAAACATTATCATTTCTCAGAGCACAAAATGCTGGTTCCATTTCTTTCTCTGGGTGATGAGCCTTTCGCTCTTCTTCCTTCCTTATATTAGGCTCCTGCCAGCTGGGCCCAGCCACTATCTGCTGGACCAGGTGTGGCTCGTCCACCATCACTGCTCGCACACCTGGGAACGTCAATTCCTCAGATTCTAGAGTCTCCATCAGACCCACCAAGGGGCATAGAGTGAATAAATACAGTCCACTAGACATTTCTGGAGTTTACCCCTCACACCCATAAAGAGATGTAAGGCATATTTGTTTATGTCAGGCCTAGGTGAACAATCACAGGCTGTGCTATTTAGGGCTGGTTAGAGGCACACTTCAGTGGCAATTGGAGGCAACAGTTTTCCAGATCTCATCTAATGGAAACCAGTCTGCAGCTAATAGCAATGATACTAGGCATGTTTAGAGCAATGAATTTGAAGTTTATCCACAAAAGCTCAAACTTCAGTCCAAAACAGCACTTCTTTTGGAAACTAAGTGACACGTGGGACCATTGTTGTTGATTTTAAAAGTCTGTTTTAGGCTTCCTTGCTAAGATCTTTCAGTTGACTTTCATTATTTACATGAACTTTGAAAACATAATTAACCTCATGATTATTGTATTCTACATGGGGCTGACCTTGTGCCTTATTTCAGAGCTGAAGTCAGTACAGAGTGTAGCAGCTAGGAAGCTCAGTGCCAGCTTGGGAAGGCTAGAGTTGTATCAAATTATGTCTAAACTGAATGAACTTCATTGCTTGGATGTTAGCTGTTAGCGATGTTTAAGGCCTGACTCAGAACTCTTGATACCAAACAGTCTGGCTTCCCCAGTAATATCCATGTGAGCTCTCTGAAATTTGTTTGAGTTTTTACCTTTTTTCTTATATTGAACAAAAGGCTATCAGTGAACATTGTGAAGACAGGGCTTTTCAGTGGTGGCACATAGGAGCCAGCAGAGAAAGGGGAGGAAAATAGCACTCATAAACCTTGTTTATACCTTGTTAACTGTTTGAATCCTCTCCTCCCCATATGTCCTCCCCACAGCTTGCTTGCTTTCGGTACATGTGCTCTCTCCCATCAACGGCATAGCTTGATTTTCCATTGACCCCTGTGGTTTAGTGTCTATGGTACAGCTGCTGAAGAGTCTTGCCAACTGTACCTCATCCAATGCAAAGGTGGAGGTCCCAGGGTGCTCTGTCTCTAAAACAGAAATTTGTCCCATGAAGTTGGCTACCAGCTGGTTCGTGTGAAGCTTCCTCAGTGCTGTAGTCTACTCAAGTGTTTGGGTCGGGACTGGGTGATAGGGGTCTCCCCAGCTGCCACTCTTTCTCATTCCAAAACCTAAACTTGCACCACCACAAAGCCAAATCCAGAGAATCCCCATCATCTGATGACAAAGAGATTACTGGGAGCAACTGGTGAAGCATCTTCTGCTAGGAGGCTGCTTGCCTTTTTGGGCGCCATGACTAAGCACTCCCTCCACCCACCCAGGGGAAAACCATGGCATTGGATCTTAGCTGGCTAAAAAATGAAACCAAATACTAACTCAGTCTTAATACCAGAGGGGAGGGGGGGAGCCTCAGGGAGGAACCACACCCTTCTGGCTGTTGACTGGCTGAAAAAAAGAGAACAAAACCAAAAGTCGTACCACTCTAGAGTGGGGGGGGGAAGGGGCGGAATCCAGGGAGGGACCAAGCGATTCTAGCCTTCATTCAGCAAAAGATGGGAAGGGGACAGTTGACCACCAGGCACCCCAGTGAGCTCTGCTTCATTCCCCACTTTCACAGCAGTACAGAGCCTCCACGTGCAAAGGTGTGCAGGCATCATATCTACCACCCCCCTGGACCCATCCCACTTGGCAAGGGCCCTACCCACCACGTAGCTACTGCAAAATAGTCAGCGGGGAGGGGAGGAGCCCACTGAACACTTCCAAAAGATCCAGGTTTCTTGCAGGCATTGCAAGTCTGCAGCCTGGATTACCGCCCTACCCCTACCCCCCCCCAAAAAAAAAACCTAGACCCTGAGCTACAGAACCTAGTGGCAATGCTGTTCAATGATCCAGGCAGCCACCACTGCTGTGAGACAATGTGGATCTGCCAACCAGCTGATTGGAACTGCATCCTCCACAGCACATGGTCCAGCAATTCCAGGGATTGGGCTGCTGCAGCAGATACCACCAGACCTGCTCAAGAACAAAAGAGGGCTGGCTAGGGGCAGGCGACCTTGCCTGCCTGCCTGCTTGCTTTTTTTAAAAGATTGCTAACACTAAGACAGCTAGGCAAGACAAAGAAAAAAGTGAAAAATTTGCAGAGAGAGAGAAACAAGTTCCAGTCAGCATGGAGCCCACTTGTTAGGTAGCTCTACTCTAACTGTTCCTCTTGCAAATCTGAATGGCTAGAGCAGAACTATCTTAACAAGCTGGAAATAAGGCTGATTGCCAAATTGCTCTTCTCTCTCTTCTGATTCCTCACTCTCCCCACTCCCCTTTGGTCAACTAGCAGTCTCAGCACTAGAGCAGAAAGCCTAGGAAAGGAAAGAAGAAAAAAGAAAAAGAAGTGAAGTGAAGTGAAGAGGGAAACAAGGAGACCCAGGCACCAGGTTTGCAAAGGAGAGAATTCAAATGACAGCCACTTTTCCTGCTGCCCTGCTGTCGTAAGGTAAAGGTTCCACTTAACAATTAAGTCCAGTCATGTCCGACTCTGGGAGCTGGTGCACATCCCCATTTGTAAGCTGAAGTACTGGTGTTTGTCTGTAGGCACTTTCATGTGGCTGGCATGACTGGACATGGAACACTGTCACCTTCCCACTGAGGTGGTGCCTATTCATCTACTCGCATTTACGTGCTTTCAAACTGCTAGGCTGGCAGGAGCTGGATCAAGCAACAGGAACTCACCCTGTCACACAGATTTGAACTGCCAATCTTTTGATCGACAACCTGGTGGCTCAGAGGTTTAACCTGCAGCCCCACCCACATCCCATCCTGCTGCTGTAGATGGTTGAAATGGCTTCAAATAGAACAGCTGCATCAGTGCAAGTGATCACACCATATGAACTAATGCAAATGAAGGTACTAAATCTAAAGAAGTAGAAGTGCCAAATTCAAAAGAAAAAATGAAGAAGGACCGACTCTGAATTGATTTGCATTGCCTTATGTCATGTAGTCAACAGAAAATAAGCTGAATCTGTTCTAATCCCAGCGCTTTTCCTGCATTTTGTCTTTGTCGTTGGAAGTTGGGACTAACAATTAGGTTTAGGTTCGTAAATTAATGCAATTTTACAACAGTTTCCTCCTCTTTCAGGTCTTCATGACAGAGTGTATAGCTTGCCAGACATCAACAGTAAGTTGGCATTTAAAAAAATGAGGCATGGTGTGTGTGTGTGTGTGTGGAGAGAGAGAGAGAGAGAGAGAGAGAGAGAGACTTTGGAAATATGTTCCTCCTGTAATTTTTAGTACTTTTTATTGTAGACTTTACAAACATTTTTGTGTCTCTATCAAGGAAAAAGAATGGCTGTGTTATGTGGTAGGACTGTATGCAGTTCATTGTGAAGCATATACTGACATACTCTAATCACTGAAAAGAGCCACACCACACTTTGTCCTCCCTTGGCATATCCCCCCTTCCCCTTTCAGTACCATTGAGCATGTTTACTTGGACATTAAGAACTGCTTTTGAATTGAGCTTTGTGTAATTAAAATTGATTTGAAAAATCACAGCATACAGCAAAGCGCACATTTTTTTGGCTGCAGAGCAAGATTTTTTTGAGGAGCCTGGTGGAAGCTTTTTAATTTAGCATGCTTGTGAAAGATATTCTTTATGAATCACTTTGGGCAATGTGAACATCCCTGCTATATTAAATATTGCCTTTGTGAGCCATTACAGGTTTCAGAAGTAATGTCGCTATGTCACTATGTCACTTAAAATTTATTTTGCGAACAAAATAAGTAAAATAAAATAAAATAGAAGAATAAATGTAGACTGGAAGTTGGGTAGGGCAGTTTGGGGTGGGAGAGGTCCTGATCAGAAGTCTAAGCTGAGAATGAGAAGGGTACTCAGTGTAATTTATACAATAAGAGACAAAAATGAAAGCGGAGGTATTAGCATTAGATATTTTCAAAGCATTTGATTCAGTGGGATAGTTAGCAAGAAAGACAATAATTTGAAAAAACTAGGGTTTGGTACCTGTTTTAGGCAATTAGTATACATTTATATTCAGAGAACGCACCAACGGTTTTGGTTTCAGTGATTGATGGTGAAACAGAGAAAATATTCCTAGGCCCAGCAACAAGGCAGGGATGTCTGTTATCTCCAGTTTTATTTGCTTTGCTAATAGAATTATTGGCAAATGTTATCAGAGAAGACAAGGAAGTAAAGAGATTAGGAAATAGAGAAAAAAATAAAAGTTAATTTATTTGCAGGTGATATATTATTAACAATTGAAGATCCATTAAAATCCATAGAAAATATTAAAATTCATTTAAAAACATTTGAAGAAGTAACAGGGTTAAAGATAAATTGGAATAAACTGGAATTTATGTTAGCAAATTATGATAATGATGAGAGAAGGAGAGTTAAAGATAAATTTGAGGGAAAAATAAAACTGATATTAGATATTTAGGGACTAACATAATAGTGGTACCTTGAATTACAAACGTCCCTGCTTGCAAACAATTTAAGTTACAAAAGGCTCCATTTGCAAAAAGTTGCTTCGACCTGCGAACGGAGCTTGGACTTACAAACAAAACAAAACAAAAACACACACAAAACCCTTCCTGCCCTTTTTTTTGACGTAAGTTCATCTTAGGTCAAAAGAAGAATTTTTAAAAAAAACTCACCCCCTAGTGGTAGAGTACAGATTAACCGGCTTTGCATTAGTTCCTATGGGAACTAATGCCTCTACCTACAAACAGCGCCTCGACATACGAACGAAAAACAGCAGATACAGACTAAATGGTTTTCAATGCATTCCTATGGAAAAGTTTGCCTCGACTTACAAACTTTTCGACGTATGAATGCCATTCCTATATGGATTAAGTTCGTAAATCGAGGTACCACTGTACTTGGAATTTGCAAGATATTATAAAAATGAACGTTGATAAAGTGAAAAACCCAATTAAGGGACAAATAAAGGAATAGCAAAAGTTGAAGTTGTCATGGTTTCGAAAAATAGTGGTATTAAAAATGAAGATAATCCCTAAATTCAACTTTATATTCTGCATGTTACCCATAAAGATAAATGATAAGGAACTAAAAGAATTGCGGAATATGATTAATATGTTTTGTATTGGAAATAAAAGACATGGAATTAAAAAAAAACTATAGTATATATCTCAAAGAGAAGGAGATCCGAGTATACTAAATATTAAATTATACTACATAGCAAATAATTTGAAGCACATTTCAGAGATCATTGCAAATAGGAAAGAGGCAATATGAAGTGATTTAGAGTTTTTAAGTATGAAGAGAGTGTGGAGATTTTTTTTAAAAGAAAACTTAACAAATGTTGTAAAAAAAATCCCTTTCTAAGTAATATGTTTTAGTGTTGGGAGAAGTATATGAAAACATTGAGTCCAAAGATTTCTCCATTGAGTCAAGTGTTGGAATTAAGAAATTTCTCAAAAAACCTTGAGTGAAAGTTAAATAAGATTATGATACAACGGGGAGTTATAAAAACAAAAGATTGGATAAAGATAAAAATGTATAACAGAGAGCAAATAAAAGAGATTTTAGGCAAGAAAGAGTTTCTTGTTCAGTATAAGTAACAAGAGAAAGAAAAGGGGAGAAGAGAGATAAGTTGGAATGTAGCAAAAATATAAAAAGAATAAGTTTAATTTACAAAATGTACACCAAAGCTGCAAACCTCACTCTTGGTGGTAATAGTTACACACACCCCCCAAAGAAAGGGAGTTTCCCAAACCACTGATGTCTGGGGCACCCACCTGAAGGACCTCCTTCTTGCCCGGATTCAGCCTCAGTCCGTTCACCTGCATCCATTGATGAACAGCCCCCAGGCAGCGCTCAAGGGACGAAACAGCATCCAGTGTTGTTGGAAAAAAAGATGTAGAGCTGAGTATCATCAGCGTACTGATGACATGAAACCCCGCATCCCCTGATGACCCCTCCCAGTGGCCTCATATAGATGTTAAATAGCATTGGAGAGATAATCAAGCCCTGCGGGACCCCACAATTGAGGCTCCATATGAAACATGAAATGAGACAAGGAGAATGGACAGTGATTTTCAAAGAGATAAAGGAAATTATGGGTATTGAAATACAAAGGTGTCCAACTGTTAAATACAATAGGAAATATTCAATTAGAACCGGGGGGAGAAAGAATTAATCAATATTATGTTAACAGTAGCAAGACTGATATTTACAAAGAACTGGAAAAATAATAATTTAATATTGAAGATTGGTACAAAGAAATGTGGAATATGGCTATTAATGATAAATTAACTTTTGATTTGAAAATTAGAAAGGGAATATTGAAAACCAGTTGTTTTAAGGAGATATGGAATGCTTTCTTAACACATATATTTGTTAAAAAAAGGTTATACCCCAACACAAGAATCATTATATTTCTGGATAGACATACTGTAGGGTATAATACAAAATAATAAATCAATAAATCAATCAGTAAATAAAAAATCCTAAAGATGGGGGGGAGCATGGTATATTGTGAGGTACATTTGTATTTTAGTTTGTTTTTGTTGTTAAGTTTTGTTTATTTTTAATAATAATAATAATAATAATAATAATAATAATAATAATAATAATAATAATAATAATAATAATAATAATAATAATAATAATAATAATAATAATAATAATAATAATAATAATAATAATAATAATAATAATAATAATAATAATAATAATAATAATAATAATAATAATAATAATAATAATAATAATAATAATAATAATAATAATAATAATAATAATAATAATAATAATAATAATAATAATAATAATAATAATAATAATAATAATAATAATAATAATAATAATAATAATAATAATAATAATAATAATAATAATAATAATAATAATAATAATAATAAAACAAGATAAATAAATGCATTCCAAAATATGCCTGAAAACCAAAGAAATGACACATAATATTGGGAAAAGATGGGGACAGGAAATGAAATTATTTAAAATCTCACATGTAGTTTCATGAAATGGTTTCAAGCCCTACTTTATATCAAAGTAATAATTTTCAAAGTGAATGTGCACAGAGATACAAAAACCATGTGACTGAAAATTGAGTTTAAAAAACAGTCTGAAATCGATACAAATCAGTAGTATAACCATGCCCTCTCTTTTTAACTAAATACAACATTGATTCCTAACTAAAAGCAAAATGTTATATTTCTGGTGACTGAATATCTTTTTTTTTTTTTTTTTTTTTTT